TCAAGGATACGGGGGGGGGGAGGGGGGGGGAGCTTCCACCACGTAATGATCTGTCTCCGCATGTTTCAATTTTGACGTCGTCAGAACCATGTACTCGTATATCAAGGAAGAGAGGTCAACACGGTACATCTTAAAAGGGAAGATTTTTATGGCCTATTTAGCACGGGTTTTCCTTGTAAAGTCAGGCGGAAAGAAGGACGGGACGCTTGGTGTAGCGAAGACGAGCTCATGCCTGCTGCTACCGCCACTCGTGATCGCTTGGTGTGCGGGAAACCAGCAAACCGGAAGCTTAAAAAAAGAGGTCGCGACAACCCACATGGTCTTCGTGGTATGCGGTTCCCTGCGATAGGTTGATTGGTTAATGTATGTGCGTATCTGTAGGACAGCGTGGGCCCTTCGGTGAGTCTTAGTTTAATGCTCAATATTAACCGATTTTGGAGATGGGGTTTGGACCAGTGGGGTGGAGCTGGAGGTGTAGATGGTGGTAGGGAGGGGGATAGGGACAGGGGACAGAGGTGGAGATAGGGCTAGCCAGGGGGTGGAGTGCTCAATGGTTGCTTGCCATACCGATTAGTTAGGTCAGTGTTCGGGGCATCCTTCGTGGCGGGGGAGTGCCGCTACAATGCCCAGCCCCTAAACTCTTCCAAGATTGAGTTCCAAGCCGTGCTTTTCCGGCGGTTGAGAGGGGCTCCCCTTGTTGGTGAATTTTGACCAGTTTTGCGAGAGGAAGCGTGGTGGACGAAAACATTCCCCTGTTTCTACCTCATGCCAAAGCTTGTCACAACGAGGAGGAAGGGGAGCTAAGCCGTTGTCGCAGCGGGCTGCTGTCGTAGCCTTGCCGCTCGGTTGCAACAAGAACGGACGTCACCGTGAATGCCGAGCATATGTTGTTGTATTTTAGGGAATACGTGAACGTTTATGGAGGAAAGGGATATTTGTTGGGGGAAGCGACGAAGGCCCTCTTTGATCCTGAAGGAGAAACATAGACCCATATTTCCCCCAAGTTAAGGATTTTCAATATCGCAGTAGACCATTTCCGTCCGTCGGCGAAGAGACATGGTTGCCGGAGTATCTCAAAGCACTCCCTTTGTGCACTGCTGCTGATGATGCCGCTCTGCCTATCTTGTCCTGAGTTGACGAAGGTAGGTTATCGTATGACCAGAACCGTATTCTAATGAAGTAGGGGACTTTTGCTGTCGAGCATGTATCGTGATACCAAGAGGAGGAAGCGACGCAACAGAGGATGCAACGGAGACGATGCCTTGTGTGTATCGAAGGTGGCCGCTTGTGCGATTGCCGCTGGTTTGAGGTAGCCTAGAACTTTATTGCCTCCGACAAACTTGTTAGGCCTTTTGGGGGGGTGCAGAGCAGGGCTACGCGTTTGGGTATCCTCAGCAACGGCGGGAGGCATGGTTCAATAAGGAGAGTCGGGATGTTCCACGAACAAAGGCTAAACAGGTCGCAATGTATTGTGCGGACCAGGGAGAGGAGAGGAGAGGAGAGGAGGTCGGGTTGCCTCGACTCATGAACGAACGTCAACGTTGCCTACAGTCATCGTGACGGGAATGGTACCTCTCAGTGTCTAGGTCAACGTGCGTAGTACGTACATGCTGGCTCCCCCAAGAGGAAAGAAGGAAAGTGGGGTTGTAGCCGTGGTCTAGTCCAAGGCTCGGTTGGTCTGGGCGACCACTCTCGGAAGAAAGGCCATTCCCGAAGTCTGCCCGACATAGGTTTCTCTTCGCCAGTGTTTAGCCGGCGGAATGTCCAAGTTTACACCTCCATGCCCATCGCAGTTTTGGGTAGAATTCTACGTGCCCATGTTGGTTGCTACTTGGCCTTGCAGTGTTTCGACGTGCGCGTGCGCGACTCACAGCTTCTTCCTCCTAAAATCGAATATCGCCGAGTAGTTGAAGCGTCTCTCTGTGTGGCAACCGCCTGGTTCTTGTTTGTGTTCCAGGCATCGCTAGCCATTTGCGTTGTTCGAGACTCTAAAGACCCTATGATCTGCACCAGGTCGATTCGAGAAGAGGCTAGACATAAACGTTGAATACACCACCAACCTAGCAACACATGCACCCACCACCACCACCACCACCGACAACGACATCAACGACGTCGACGACGGCAACAGTTGACGACGACAACGCCATCACCATTGACGAGAACAAGAAGAACAAGAACGGCAATGATAGCAACCGTAAAACATCCGTCCCCTGTCAAGTCACCTACCAGTTTTAGGTACTGACATTGAACTCACTCTGTCGCACGAGACACGTACTATCTCCAGCACTTGATCCCGCGGGCAAGAACATGCCAAAATTACGTTTGTCTAGGCTGGCCACGCGCAGTCTAAGTCTCAATTTGGGATGAACACGTCCAACAACTCGCTTGTTTGACACTGGGGGAGACAAATAAGTATCTCGGCAAAAACAGTAGCGTCAACACCATTGCCGCGACTAGCCTTCGTACGGCATGTTAGGAGTGCAGCACTCATGACGCCTCAACACTGAATTGCCCGTTCAACGCCTTTGCAAGGTCAACGCCTTTGCAAGGTCAACGCCCCACGCCCCCTCCCCCCATTTCCTTTACACAGACCCAAAGCTAGCACAATGCACAAAGCTTCACTCAGTCGCCGTGCTGAGGGTTTTTACCATCTGTCTATTTATGGGTTCTTTCTTGTATCCAGATGAATATTGCCAAAATATTGGCTGAAAAATCCAGACGGTTGGCGTGTCCCGTGTTCACCGGTGAGTACCGCTGCGGTGGTTCTGGGAGCCAGGGGACTTGTCTCGCGATAAAAAATCCGCTTTTGACACGACTTCGTCCTTTCGTACGAAATCGATGCTTGCTTCCGATGACGTATGACGATGCTCAAGAATCCACGGTTGGTTTCTCGCTTGAACCGGTACATGGGCAACCAGGCCAATGAGCACGTCCAAGGTTTCCGAGGAAAGGGATTTGGTCTCGATGACCCTGACGTCGCTCCGTCCGTTGCTGCCGGCGCGGCGTGGAGGGCGCCGTGAGACAGGCCGCCATCGCGAATTGTTTCCTAGCAAGGAGCAACAAAGGCGCTACTGTTGGTGTCTGTTGGCTCCAACGTCAATGGAATTGGTGTTGTTGTAGTTGTTGTTATCCTCTCCTAAAGAAGATCATGCAAAGCGTCGATGCCCGCTACCACCTTCGCCGCCGCCACCGCCGCGTGTCGACAAAGGTGTCAGCGACGACGGCGAAGGTGGTGACAACGTCACCCACGAAGATGGAGGTGACGAAGAATAGGATGCCCGCGGCGGCAGCAGGGAGTGCTGCCACCCCCCTTGACCCTGCCCCTGCCCGGCCCGGCCCTCCTCGCCTCCGTTGTTCCGCAAAGGTGACACTCGACGCTGGTGCTGCTGCAGCGGCGGGTCGCACGGAGAAACCCTGCCGAAAAGTTCGCCGCACGAAATCGAGCGTACCGGTATCCTGGGGACCCCGATGCTGGTAGGATTTCCTTGCCTTACCGGTCGGTCTCCGCCGTTCGATCGGTAGCCGGGTACTGTCAGCTCAGGAAGGGTTGCCGCTGTCTCGCTGTGGGCACTGACAAGCCTTTCGTGTTGATTTCGAGCCGTGGAGTGGGCGGCCTCTCCTCCGCCTTCCCCACCACCGACGCCGACGCCGCTGCCGCCGCGGCCGCCGATGTGTGTCGGCCTAGGTTATACGCAGGGCGTTACCCCCATCCGGTCGCCTAAGGCCGACCCGGTACCGCTGCTGTTGCTTGATGTGAGAACCATTTGCCGAGGGCTCCTTCGAGGTACGCTCGACCCCGCGCGAGGGATGGAGCTTGCGTCAGAGCTGGAGCTATGCGTGTGACCCAGTCGTGAGTGCAAGCGTGTCCCCGACCTGCTAAAAACAGATGCCGCTGCCACAATCTTGGTTTGCGGTCCCGAGCGAAAGTGCGAGGCCTTCCCAGTGCTGGGGTCGTCCACCCTAGCCCCCCGAGGGGAGGATGCAGACAAACATTCGGAGCTGTTGCTTTGCGGCGAACGACCTCTGCTGCGGTACTCCGGCGAGGCACCAGCCGAGAGTTCTGCCGCAGAGTGTCGTGGAATAGAAGATGAACCCCCGCCCGAAACGCCGAGCTGTGCTGCTCCCCGTTGCCGCTGCCAGGGCCTGGCAGAGTCGGACATAGAAGAAGAAACCGAGGCGGAAATGCGAGGCCGAGAGGAAACCATGCCGGAGCCGCCGAAGCCTCCCCCGGCAGCAGCAGCAGCAGCAGCAGCAGCTGGCAATCCACCACGGTCAGGGTCCACGCCGCGCCCGGAGCGCGAGCGCCGGCCCTGCCTCGGCATGCTGCTGACCTCAGTGTTCCAGGACAAGCTTGAAAGGGGGGGCTCCTGCTCGTGTTGGCGGCGGCGGCCGTAGCTGTGCTGACGCTGTTGCTCTGGTTGTTGCGAGTGGCGAGAAGCATGTGATGCGCTGCCACAGCAGTAGCATGGTTCGCGACGAAGGCCGTCATCGCCGCCTCCGCCGCCGCCGCAACGTCGGCCGGCGTGTGAAGGTCAGCCTTTTCGTCCTCTTGCGCGCGGCGAGGATGGTCCTCGTCTGTGTCTGACGACGCCGCGTTGAGATGCTTGTGTGGTATCGTGTCGCCCGCGGTTCTGTTCGGTTCTCTGCATGGCAGCCAGTGAGGATTGCATCCCCGTCCACCGTTCGGTTCCACGCTGCTGCGAACCGTTCACCCCCTCACCACCGTTTAGCCCGCGCCTTGCCAGCGGCGATCTCATGTCACCATCGTCGTAATCGCCAGGATTTCGTCCTTCAACCTCATCGAAATGACCAACGCTTCGTTGACGTCTCCCGGCATCGGGCACGGAGGATTCCCGCCCGCTTGCAACGGACGCTGAACATCTCAGGGGCGGCGGGCTGTTTATCGAGGAGGCGCCTACTTCGCTTCCAGCTTGGTCCCCGCTGGTGCGGCCGAGCTCGTCGACGCGTGCTTCCCTTCTTGTCGCTGGGACGTGGTACTGCTGCCTGGTGTCTGCGGGCGACCGCCGGTGTCGGTCCAGGGTCCCGCCTGCGGTCGGCATGCTGTCGCCGCCTTGGTGCCACGCGTGTCGATCACCGACACCCGCCAGCGAGGAAGTCCGCTCAGGAGCACGCATCGATGACAAAGGCGACGAAGACAACGACGACAATGTTGCCATCGATGGACGGCCCCGTGGTGCCACAAGGCCTAGTGATGTGGTACCTCCGGGCATCAACGCTGCGGCGGCCGCAGCGGATGAGTTCGATGGTGATGAGCTCCAACCCCTACTATGTCTGTCGCGCGGTCTCGCTGCGTGTTGTGCGCTGTAGGGGGTTGCCGGTGCCGCCGCCGCCGCCGATGTATCGCGCCGCTCCCCCTCTTGTACGTGAAGGCGACCACCTCAGCGATTGACTTCATCGATGGTCTCTGCCATGACCGCGTCACGACCGTGGTGACCTTCGTGATCGCGGTCAATTTCCTCAGCTGAGGAGGCCGATCCTTGTAGTCTTCTCCTTGCTGCGTTCGCAATCACTGGCTGGGAATACGCTGCTGCTGTGGTTGACCGCCCACAAAAATATCCTTTACAGGGGAGGGAGGGAAGGGTCGCTCTAGATGTAGGTTTGCCGAACAAACAACACTGCGTCGAGATCATGACCCGGTGAAGGAGAGCATCGCCAGCCGCAGAAGCATTGCTTTAAACGTGTCTCCCGCTCACTAAGTCCAAGACGATGGGAGCCGAAGCAGAGTAACGACAAACGAGATACTGCACGTTTTACTGATGGAAACAATCCCCGTGAGAAATTTCGTTCTGGCAGGGTAGCACCCTGTGTTCAACACCCTTTTCTCTGTCACGGAAGCAAAGACACGACAACCCCAGCTACGATGCGAGGGGGCGGGGGGGTGGTGGGTGAGCGTGGGACTACAGAACACCACGGCGTACAGAAGTTTCCATGTCGCTATTGTGCTTGTTGAAGGCAAAAGGCCCGCCATCGTATTGTGGAAGGCATGTCTAACCAGGGACCTGCAAAGATGTGTTTACATACGATGGCGCAGACAATCAAACTCTATTTTTGAGGCGGATGCATTTGAGTTTTTCTATCATTCGCGGACGTCATCGATCGGGCTTCAACTCTAGGATTGTGTTTTGCCACTTTCAAGCCGGTTGAGAGCAGAACTAAACAACGTCGACACCACCTCTACAATTCTGAGAAACAAGGAGACACGTGCCTTCGTTCGCTCCCCCGTATGTCTCCGAGAGTTCGCGAGTCCGAGAGATCTCGGCCGACTTGGTCCTGCGACATCGAACGGACCAGTATGCCTCCCACTTTGCGGAGATCCTCTTCTCCCACGCCCTTCGGGCCTGGGTTAAAAGGTGAGGGTTCACCGAGGTCATCTTGCTGTATCGCCTCGTCCAACAAACCCAAGGAGTTCGGGATATGGCCTCGTGGGGCTGTCAACACCGTCCAAGTCTGACGGGGTGACCCAGGACAGATATTGAGGACGAACGCCCGTCATTTACAGACTTCCCCTGCCATCAGATCGCGATACTGGCGATGGTGGTGTAGTTGTGCCAAGGCACCGGGGTCTCTCCGGACCTCAAACGAAAGCGAAAGGTTTGAAGATGGAACAGCTGTCGTCTATCGTCGCGCTGTCATGACAATCACCCAAAAGTCGGCAGACTTGGATTGGCTGGGTTGGACAGGTTTGGAACCCTTGCCTGTCCTTCCAACGTTCATGCGCCGTGCTGGCCGCCCGATCGGTGGCTATTTTTCCACCACATTGTGAACATACTAAAATACCATGAATATCTCTCGTCGCGATGTGCAAGGGTATCAGCGTGTCAAACCGTCAAGAACTTTCCGTTTGGACAACGTAGCCCGTTGAGTTCAACGAACATTGATGTACCATCGCATGCCGGAACAAATGCGGGTGAAAGCAGCTTGAAAAGCAATGTTGGGCAACAGAAAAACACATCAGGTTTCCGAACCGCCTTGGAAAACATACAGTAGTATGCATAACTCTCAACAATTCCCTGCCTCCGATTTCTCTCGAGGCCTCGGGGGTGAAAGAGACAAATTGTGGTCGTTTTTCGTGAACTCTCCCACAAAAACATTTGCCCAATGTAGTGCCATCACTCGTACCCAAAAAAATATGTTAGTGGCCTGTGAGTAACAGTTCTACGTGTGGAACTTCTGATGGCACGGTGGACGTGGAGGACCCATGAAAACACGCACAGCAGAACTTGAAGAGAATTGAACTTGACTCGCCGGCAGCCGGTCGTAACGATGTGGACCAGCCGGAGGAAGAGAAAACTTTCACCGCGACTTTGTTAAATACAAGTTTTCACGAGCAGGCATCGCGTACGTACCCATTCTTCTCTCTCGCGTTTGACGTCTGCAGTGGTGGAGAGCTTCGCGACCTTCCTCTCTAGCTCTGCGATCGTGCTCTCTCTCTCTGATCCAGCTGGTCAAACAGTGCCTGCTTCTCAGCCTTTATGGAACGAAAAACAATGTTAGAATAGTGATGACAACAACATAGAGCCCCACTATGTCCGTCAATTCTCTCCATGGACGATAGAACGAGATTCGATTATTTCGTCAGACGTTACGCTCCTACCGAACCACGACTTGACGTACGATACAAAATGCGAAAGAGGTGACAGCGTTAGCATGGTAACTGAAAATTGCCAACACTGGGTACGAAGTACTGTGACCAAACAGTACTGGTATATGTTGGGCAAAGTATTGATATTGTCGAGTGATAGCACCTGTTGGAATGTTGAGAAGGTGAAAGTAAACTGCCTTAGAATGGTTATGGGTGCTCCGGTCGGTGAGTTTCAACCCCTGAGTGGCGGACCCTGCCAACTGGATATTGTTGTGCTGGAAAACGGACAATAAACCAGCCTCTTTTCGTGAACAACTCGTCCCAACATGGGAAAGGTAGGGTTGCACTATCGCATAGAGAGCAACCATCGCTGACGAAAACAATTCGGTCGTATACTCGTTTTTTAAACCAGAACCTGGCATATTTAAATACTTTCGATTCTTCGATTTTCCGATCTGCTACTCGAGGCGGGA